ATCTGGATGGTGGACAAACGGGGGTAATGCGGGTCCGACCCTCTCTGGTTTGGTCCTGAGCAACCTGCAGTGATGCACAGCTGCTGACTACTATTATGGCAAGGCAATGTCAGCATCATCCATCTCTGGACTGCTTCTCTTCTGTTTTCATGGTTGGAGCAGTCCTGTCAATTCCTCTCTGTTGCAGGAACCCACATTATCTCGGAGTTGTTTTCTGAAAATATACAAACATATTCTCGACCAAAAGTTAATAAAGGAATATTTTCTATAAATTTGACTTGGGATCCTTTTCCATTTTTTGTGGTTAGTTCTTTTCAGATATTACTAGGGTAGGGCCTCAGTCTTATCCATTCTAATACTTAAACAGAGCCCTCATGAAATGCAGCCGGTGTATGCAGAGCAGTGTTAAAGGAACTTACTATGCTATGAATTATAGCTAAAGTATGTTTTGTTGCATAAGAGGAGCATAATGTCCAATTATTTGTAAAAAAGGAATTAAATGTATCCTGTATATGAAAGTTACTGGTAGATTTTTTAAAAGAATGATCTAATAAAGAATTAGAGGAAAAGGCAATAGATATTTTTAGCATTCTAGGAAGTTATTGATATAAATAAAATCATCTGGGGGTTTTCTACATTGGACAAGTATAGCTGGTGGGCAGCGCTCTTGCTTGGCCTGGCCCTTGCCCCTGCGCCTGGGAGCGCATCTGCATGCTCGCCCACCCAGCACCTGAGGCGAGAAGCACTGGCCCAGCCCACCTGCACAGGTGCCAGGCTGCATGGTCACAGACATAGCTGGGTGGAGTGGGCAGGAGTGGGGACTGGTTGCACATTGCAGGGCTGGGCTCCGAGGAGGTGCGGGCTGGGGAAGCAGAAAGCACGCAGAGTGGCCAGCGGGAGCAGATCTACCTGGTGAACTATATGGAGGGCTACCTGGACTCCATTGGGTCTTTGTCTTTCGACCTGCAGAGAAGCCTATTTCTGATGCGGGAGATCAACATTAAATAGCAAGAAATCCTGAAGGAACTAGATGAGTATTATGAGATGTTTAAACAGGAGGTGAAGAGCAACCAGAAGAGGAGAGTGTTGCATTGAATGCAGAGAGCCCCTGATCTGGAGCCAGGAGCTAAGAAGATCCATATTGTGAGTCAGATGGTGGAGCTGGTGGAGAACAGGATCAGGCAGGTGGACAGTCACGTGGAACTCTTTGAGGAACACCAAGAAGTCAATGACACCAAAGATGTCCATGATAAATCCAAGAATGAGACAATCACACAGGCATAAAAGCCCAATAACAAGAGGTCTCTGAGACAGTGCAACAACAAAAATTGGGAGAATGCAGCTAATAGTCATAGCCATGATGACAGCACCTTGGGATCACCTAAGGAGAAGAAAGCAAAAGCCTCCAAGAAGAAGATATGCTCCAAGGCCAAAGCAGAGAGAGAAGTATTCCCTGCAGACCTTCCCATCAACCTGAACGAGCCCATGTACTCTCCGTGCAATCCGGTCTCCTATAGAGAAATGATCAGCTGTGACAATGACGAGTGCCCCATCTAGTTGTTCCATTTTTCCGGTATAGGACTGAATCATAAACTAAAGGGCAAGCGGTACTGTCCCAGAAGTTGAGGGAGAACAAGAAAACCATGGACAAAGCCCTGGAGAAATCCAAAAGGAAGATGGCATATAACAGGTAGTTGGTGGACCTTGCCGAACAGGGAGGAGAACTAAGCCAATGTATTTATTACATTGCCACTTTTGGTGAGGTGCAAAGACTGGACAATGCATATTTTTAAAAAATGTTAGAAAAGGAGCCATTCCTTTTGTAGGGATGGCAGTGATTCTCTGCGTTTTGTTTTTGTTGGTTCACATGTGTAACAATGTTGGTCTGTGGATCAACATTTTAGAGACAATTAATGTAGATTTGAATTAAACACTATATATATAAAAGGGATTGGCCCTAGAGGGTGACTCTAGACATGTGGACCTGGCTTCAGGCAGCATTTTCTTGGCCACTCCTATTTACTAGTAAAGAACTTCTGCCAATTAATTGGCAGAACTCATTATTACCCTACCTCAGAGACTTCATGGATCAAAGAAAGTAAATTTGCATTAGTTTTAAGTGACTCACCTCTGAGGGAAGAATAGGAACTATTTTAGGAAGTTATTCTTTTTTTTCTTTTTTTTAGCACAATCATCAGGAAAGATATGTTTAATAATTTAAGAGTTTTTTAAGAATTCAATTTTTCACTAATGCTAGTAGTTTTTTTGTACTTTTAGCATGTGTATTTTTATAAATTTTAGGTTTGAAAATAATACATGCTGCCCTGACTGGGTGGCTCAGTTGGTTGGAGCACTATCATATACACGAAAAGGTTGTGGTTTCAATTCCTGCTCAGGGCACATATCTAGGTTGTGGGTTTTTTCCCTGGCCAGTGTGCATACATGAAGTGGCTGATTGATGCTTCCCTATAATATAGATGTTTCTCTCTCTTCCTTCCTCTCTTTCTATAAAACAAAAATAAATAAATAAATAAATAAATAAATAAATAAATAAGTAAGTAAAAACATATTCTTGAGGATTAAAAAATAATAAAATTAAAAAATAATACATGCTTGTCATAACACATTCAACAGTATAGAAATGATTTAAAGCAAATACCTTTTTTTTAAGAAAAAAAATCGTTATAGATTTGAGGAAGAGGAAGGAAGAGGGAGAGATAGAAACATCGAAGCATCAACATTAATAGGCTGCTTTCTGCACACACACACACACACACACACACACACACACACACACACACACACCCGGGGATTGATCCTGCAACCTGGGCATGTGCCCTGACCGGAATCACACCTGCGACCTCCTGGTACATGAGTGGACACTTAACCATTGAGTCACACTTGGGCAAAAGCAAAGACCTTATTAAAGTTACACTTGTAACCCCCCCCCCCTTTTTTTTTTTGTCTGTACATATCATAAATTTATTCTAAGATGAATTTCAGTCCTGGCCCAATAGCTCAATCGGTTGGAATGTTGACTTTTTACACCAAAAGGTTATGGGTTTGATTTCTGGTCCGGACACATACCTAGATTTCGGGTTGTATCCTCAGTCAGGGCATCAGTGGAAGGCAACTTTCTCACATGGGTCGGTCTCTCTCTCTCTCTCTCTCTCTCTCTCTCTCTCTCTCTCTCTCTCTCTCTTTCTCTCTCTCTCTCCCCACCCTCTCCTTTTCTTCCTCCCTTTCTCCCTCTGAAACGATATAAAAACCAACATATCCTTAGAGGAGGGTTAAAAAACCCCACATTTTCTTACCCATGTTTTACATCTCTGACATTGGGAAGTCTTTCAATTGATATCCATCAGGTGGCAGTCATGATGGACCTGTCATCACCAGGGAATTTGGCCATAGCTGCTCATGTTCTTCACTTTAATTTAGTTATATGCCTTAATAGTACAGATTCATTTTAATTGCTTTACAAGTATTTTGAAAAGAACTGCATGTACTATGTGATTTGGCATTATAGCAAAAAGTTTGTGTGCATAAAGGTGCAGAAAAGGATGTAAATTTAACATGAGTGAACTAAATATTCATTGGAATGATAACCACAATTCTATAATAGCAAAGATCAAATGCTTTATGGAATCAAGAAGGGCAACTATTCCATGAGTAAATAAAGGTATGCTACATTTTATTCCTGAAATGTGCAAAAGCATTCCCTAGCACAAGTTAACCAAGGCAGGAGGAATTACCAAATTCTGTGGAATAGGATGGTTGGTGTGACTGCTAGACCATAGAGATTTTAATTCAAGCAATGTGTTATAGGCTTAATTGCCTCATTTCTTTTTATAAGTGGATTTAATGAATTTGATAATTTTTATGCATTTATTCAATGTTTTATATCTATTGACATAGACATTTGGTTTTTCTGTTTTAACCTATTAATATAACATTTCTATGTATCAAACATTTATTAATATAAATATAATGTAACATTTAATATTAATAACAATTTATTATAACAATGTTACTTTTTTTAATATATTTTATTTTTTAACAGAGAGGAAGGGAGAGAGATAGAGAGCTAGAAACATCAATGAGAGAGAAACATCTGTCAGCTGCCTCTTGCACACCCCCTACCGGGGATGTGCCCGCAACCAATGTACATGCCCTTGACCGGAATCGAACCTGAGACCTTTCAGTCCGCAGACCGAAGCTCTACCACTGAGCCAAACCGGCTTCGGCAACAATGTTACTTTTTAATACATTTTCTGATGTTAAACCTTTTTGTAGTTCTGGGAAAGCAACTTGCTATTTTCTTTTTAAGTTAATTATCTTGTGGACATCTTTCCAATTTAATGTATATAGATTTACCTCATCCTTTTTAATGACTTCATTATTTTTTGTTGTATAAATATATTATAATTTTTAAATGCCTGCCTTATTGATGTGCATGTTTTCAAGTTTTTGCTATTAAAAATGTAGCAGGGGCCATTTTTCTACATATACCTCTGCTAATTGAGGCTAGTGTTTCCATAGACTAAATTTCTAGAATTTCTGTGCATTTTCATTGTTTGATAACATAAAATAAATTTGAGTTAATTTTACATAAATCAATAAATGATTGAGACTATACAAAAAGTTAATTTGGAAAAAGTATTTGCTTGTTTTAGAAATGCCAGTAATTGTTTTTGAAATATACCAAGATGCTAAAAGTGTTTGTCTTGGGGTAATGGGCTTTTTCGTGACATTTAAAAAAATATTAATAGCAAAAACAGAATTTACTTAAAAAATCTAAATGCTTATGAAACCAAACACTACTTAAAAGTTCTGGGATTATGATTAGTTGGGGGATAGAAGCTATTGTATTGCCAGATAATTCATCTAGCATAATGCAAAACACATGAAACAAATTCAAAACATGTTTTTAGAAACAAGTTGAATTTTTTTGTTTTTGTTTGTTTAACAGAGAAAAAAATTAACTACCAATTCTTTTTCAGGGTTTTTTGATTAACTCAAAACCAGAGAATGCCTGTGAACCCATAGTGCCTCCACCTCTAAAAGACAATTCATCTGGCACTTTCATCGTGTTAATTAGAAGACTTGATTGTAATTTTGATATAAAGGTAATGTTTGCTTTTTAATTTTTTGTTTCTGTTTGCTTAATTAGTATCTTAAGTACACACTTGTTTCAGAAAGAATTTAAGTAAGTTTACATAATTCATTCAGGTTTAAAAATGAAAAAAGTGAGGATAAAAGGAAAATGAGATAGTAAAGGCAAAAAATACAGGAGCAAGTTTATGTAAGCATTCATTTGCTACAGAATTTATTCTAACCTTTTAGCAGCCAGTACAAAGAGAAAGCCACCATCGGTTTCATGATTCACACTTTTACTAAGATTGAAAGCAAACAAATTGACTAGGATATAAATAATTACTATTGTTCTAAGAATTTCCACGTGGTTGTTGGGTCTTTGAACTATTATTGAATAGTTGAATGTTGCTTGATCTAATCTAGGAATGGAAATCTTAACCTTTAACTTTATGTCTTTACTCTTCTGCTACACCTATATCTGTATCTGTTGTCATTGGGATTTCTCAGTGTAATAAAGCTGATTCTGTTACCTGAACAAAATTTGTCTCCCCAGAGTGGATTAAGCTGGCATTTCAGATAGTGAAATACAGTTTGTCATAGAACTTCCCTCACTATCATCAGTGCTACTCTAGAGATGTGGTTTTATGATACTTTTAATACTGTTTTTACAAATCTGTTTTTGGACTATACCTGAATTTTGTCTCTACTCATGAAAGAAATAACACCTCCACAGTAAACTTATTAAAGCAATCCTATATAATAAAGAGGTACTATGTAAATTGATTATCACTCCAACACATAAGATGGCCACCACAAGATGGCCAGCAGGGGAGGGCAGTTGGGTGGGGAGGGAGGAGACGAGGCCTACAGGGGAGGGAAGTTGGGGGTGACCAGGCTGGCAAGAGAGGGCAGTTTTGGGGGATTAGGCCAGCAGGGGAGGGCAGTTCAGGGTGACCAGGCCTGCAGGGAGGGCAGTTGAGGGTGACCAAGCCAACAGGGAAGGGCAGTTATTAAGGTATTATATGTGTACATACCTTACCAATCCCCTCCCCACTCCCATACATGCCTTCCGTCCCCAGAATTTTTCGTCCATTAGTTTTGCTTATATGCATGCATACAAGTCCTTCAGTTGATCTCTTATCTCCCCCATATTTCCCTCCCCTCCCCTCTGTAATTTCACAGTCTGTTTGTTTCTTTACTGTCTTCTGTATCTATCTTTTTGTTCATCAGTTTATAATGTTCTTTATTATCCACAAATGAGTGAGATCATGTGGTGTTGTTCTTTCATTGACTAGCTTATTTCACTCAGCATGATGTTTTCCAATTCCATCCAGGTTGTTACAAATGATAATTATTCCTTCTTTTTATGGCAGCATAGTATTCCATTGTGTAGATGTACCATAGCTTTTTGATCCAATCATCTGCTGATGGGCATATAGGCTGTTTCCAAATCCTAGCTATTATAGATTGTGCTGCTATTTATAGATTGTGCTGCTATGAACATAGGGGTGCATATATCCTTTTTGATTGGTATTTCTAGTTTCTTGGGATATATTCCTAGGAGTGGGATTACTGGGTCAAATGGGAGTTCCATTTTCAGTTTTTTGAGGAAACTCCATACTGTTCTCCATAGTGGTTGCACCAGTCTGCATTCCCACCACAGTGTATGAGGGTTCCCTTTTTCTCCGCATCCTCGCCAGCGCTTGTCCTTTGCTGATTTGTTGATGATAGCCATTCTGACAGGTGTGAGATGGTACCGCATTGTTGTTTTGATTTGCATCTCTTGGATAATTAGTGACTTTGAGCATGTTTTCATGTGCCTCTTGGCCTTCTTTCTGTCTTTTGAGAAGATTCTATTTAGATCCATTGCCCATTTTTTAATTGGGTCATTTATCTTCCTTTTATTAAGTTGTATAAATTGTCTGTAAATGTTGGAGATTAAACCTTTTTAAGATTTGCAAATATGTTCTCTTGTTTTGTTGATGGTTTCTTTTGCTGTAAAAAAGCTTTTTATTTTGATGTAGTCCCATTTGTTTATTTTCTCTTTAGTTTCCATTGCTCTAGGGCCAGTATCAGTGAAGAAGTTCTTTTGGCATATGTCTGAGATTTTTCTGCCTGTAGATGGCTCTAGTATTTTTATGGTTTCCCGTCTTATATTTAAGTCCTGTATTCACTGCGTTGTTGTCACTCTAGGCCTCTGGGCAACATGGGAAAGCGGAAAAGTGGCTCCAGGCCAGAGTGAAGGTAGAAAGGCGGCTCTGGCTGAAGCACAGGTAGTGCCCGCAGCCAGGGGAAGGAAGGCCCATTCTTGTTCCAATGTTTGTACATCAGACCTCTATTATGATGTTAGCTATAACTTTGAGCACATATTTTATACATTTATTCATTCAAGTAATATTTAATGAGTTCCTACTCTGCATCTGGCTATTTCATAGATGTAACAGAAGCTGTAAAAATGAACAATATTAATTTTTGAGGAACTCTTATTTTGACAGTTTAGTTTTTCTCAGTGATAGGATAAATTTATTCTGATTAATCCACATTATTGTCTCTTTTCAGAAACCCAATTTGTATGTGTAGTGTAGTTTTAGAGAAGTCAAGGATTATAATTGTAGAAGAGAATTTTACCTGTGCAAAGCCAACCTTCCTGATTGGGGTTGAGTCCATGAGCCTCACTCCTTACCTAGCATTAAAATCCAGATTCTGTCTATACTTGGCTGGCTTTTCCTTTACTCTTGGGAACCTGATTCTTTGAGCATTGCCTTACTACTCTTTGGAATTTGATTCAGGTTTTATTGTTATTGAATTACAGTTGAGTTTTGAATCATTATAATGCTGATAGCTAAAACTGAACCAATAGTAGACCTAAGTACTATAAAGAAACATTTTGAGAGACTTATCACTATGTAGTGATCATAAGATGATATATTTTAAAAGTTTCCTACCATGTTAAGTACCCAGGACTATATATATATAGCTTTCAAAGTTTTAAAATTTTATTTTATATATATATATATATATATATATATATATATATATATATATATTATATATATGATTTATGTTTGTGTATATGTTTATGTATATTGACTACCCAATTTTTATCTTTTTTTTTTAATCAATGGTCCAAAGGTTATATACTAAGTAGCTTAGTATATATACTAAGTAGCTTAGGTTTGGGTTTATTATATTCAAGACAATGTTATTTTTAAAGTGAAGTGTAGTAATATGTTTGGTTACTTTTTAGGTCTTTCAGGTAAGATAATTTTGTCACATATCTAGCGATATTCTTATAATGCAAAAGTTTCTCTTTTAAATACTACCTTTAGGAAAGATTAAATAGCTAGATAGAATCAAAGCAAGCAATTTTAGGCTGGATTATTTTTCATTTTTTCAAAGTTTTAGAAATGAATTTTAAAGAACATGGTTGATGATGAAACTAATAAAAATAGCTTTTATATGACTTACTTCTATGTGTTAGCCATAGATATCTAAATAAGTCCTTGATAATCAATGTAGAACATTTATAGTATTCTTTTAAAATTTTTTAAAATTTTTTTATTTTTTTAAAAATTTCTTTATTGATTATGGTATCACATAATTGTTTTCATCCCCCCATTCCCATCCCAAATCCCTCCCCACGTATGCCCACCCCCTGTTGTCCATGACCACTGGTTAGGCTTATATGCATGCACACAAGTCCTTTGTTTGATCTCTCCCTTTTGCCCCCACCCTCCCCTACCTTCCCTCTGAGTTTGATCACTGCTTCTCTGTCTCCAGGTCTGTTTCTGTTCATCAATTTATGTTGTTCATTATTTCCCTTTGATGCGTTAGATCATGTGATACAAGGAATTCCTTTTAAGGACCGAAATTGAGACAAGCTATAATTGTTATGCTGAGAGGAAAATGAATCAGTCTGTAGTGAGTTCCTTTCTGGGCCAACAGTTCTTTTGAGTCCCAATTTTGATGTCAAACAGTTCCTTACGTGTACATGTCAGCCATGGTATTTCAGATCTGGTTGGTTGACAAATGGTGTTGATGTAGTCCAACCCTCTCTGGTTTGGTCCTGAGCATCCTTCAGTGCCGCACAGCTCCTGTCTGCTAGTATGGCAAGAGTTGTCAGTGTCTTCCATCTCTTTTGTCTTCATGGTATGGCTTAGCCATAGTATTCTATTCACCATTTTAATATTTTACATAAGAAAAATATTATTGTCATTCTCATTTTAAAATTGGGCAAACTAAGAAATAAGGCAGAAAAATAATTTGCTCAAGTTTATCCCATTAAAAGTATTGGAGGCAGATTTGAGTTCCCAAGGGCCAATGACCCCAGCTTGATCACAGTAAATCTTTAGAGCTGGATGAGTTTATTGCTTTTAGCTTGTATTCCTATCCTTTATTTGCTTCTTATTTTACTTAACACCCTGAGTGAAATGAAAAAGATATCTAAATAAGTCCTTGATAATCAATGTAGAACATTTATTTGTGTTTCAAGAATACACTTGAGATCTGTTATAAATACACTGAAAGTCTGGTGCATGAAATTCATGTAGGGGAGGGGGGGAGATTCCTCAGCCTGGTCTGTAACCTCTCCCAATCCAGGACCGCTAACTCCTAATCACTTACCTGCCTGCCTGATCACCCCTAACCACTCTGCCTGCCTGATCACCCCTAACCTCTCTGCATGCCTGCCTGATTGCCCCTAACCACTCTATCTGCCTGCCTGATCACCCCTAACTACCTATGCCTCGGCCCCTGCTGTCATGGATTATTTGGAAGGACATCCAGAATGATGTCCAGAATCATTCAGCTGTCCAGTCTTATTAGCATATTATGCTTTTATCGTTAAAGATAAAAGAAGCCCCAGAATATGGTATAGACTTGTTGACTATGTTTATCAAAGCTGAGGGACTTAGTGCTTTGTCACATTCTTCTTCATATCATTACTGTTTTCTGACTTGCAGGTTTTAAATGCACAGAGAGCAGGATACAAAGCAGCCATAGTTCACAATGTTGATTCTGATGAGCTCATTAGCATGGGATCCAACGACAGTAAGTACAGGTATCACTTTTCTTCTCTCCAGTTTGACAGATCTTTTATAAAATTTAACAAAATTCTTCTCTCATTTTTTTTTTAAATCAGAATTTCTTTTCTATTACAGTGGTAAGTCCCAATATTTAATACTGTTGGGACAATTTTATTCAAAATAGAAATGGACCTGACTTATTCTTTTCCAAACAGTTTTGTTTATTTTTTTAACCAACTTATTTCATTTTAGAAGATATGTTAATATGTTGGTAGAAACAAAAGGAAAACCAAAACTTTAAGTAGAGATAAGCATGCCGAGTTAAGGATACCATAAAAGAATTTTTTCTGATTTATTAAGAGATCCACAAGATTCAAATTTAGGCTATGGGGCTAATGTATTCTTGTGGAATTTCAAAGCCACATACTTGTGCTTTCTTAAATACACTTTGGTTATTAGCCACTTAACATACATTGACATGCCTATGCTATTTATTTATTTAGATTTTTAATTGATTTTTAGAGAGAGGGGAAGGAAGAGGAGAGAAAGATAAATATCAATGTGAGAATCAAACCTTGATAGGTAGCCTCCTGCATACCTCCTACCTGGGATAGAGCTAGCAACCTGGGCATGTGCCCTGACCAGGAATACAACGGACAACCTTTTAGTACATGAGATTTTACTTAGCCATCTGAGCCACACCAGCCAGTGCTAGCTCTTCATTTAAAATAGGAATATCCTCCCTTATTCTGTAATGAATATTAGCTTGTAAGGAAAATGAATCAATTTTAATGAAACAACTGGCTTCAATCAGAAAGTTGTGCACTTCCATTTAATTTAGTGAGAGTGATAAAAGATGTCTTTTGTTATGTTGATGAAATGATTATTGGATCCCATCTAAGGATTGGGGCTGGTTGCCAAGAGTACTAACCATGTGTGAAGAGTGTTCCACTCCTGACCTCCAAGGAGCGGAGAGGGGCTGAAGATTGAATGGATTGTCAATGGCTAATTATTTTATCAAGCTTGCCTATGTAATAAAGCCTGTGAATGTTGCATCCTTTTGTGGCTAGAGTTCAGAATTTGGAAAAGGGGCTGTACACAAACGAACACACTAGACAAGAAATATGAATTCAGAAGGCAGTGGGGGGCCAGGAAGAAAACCCTTCTCTAGCGGAAAGGCTTCATTGTGGATCAAACCCTGTTAACTTTTATTCAATTTTAGAATACACATCTTGCCCTTGTCAGGCAGGCAATCTGGTATCAGACAGACTATCTTAAAGGTCAGTAAATATTAGTAAAGATTTACTTTGAGATTTTTAGGTCAGGAAATTGCTTGAGCCACCATTGTCTGGATAGAACAATCAGTGCATAGCTTTTAGCCCTTGTTAAAGCTCAAGGTCCATCAGTCTTCCAAGTCTCCTATTGCACTTTCATGATAGTGTAGACAATGGATAGCTTCCAGCATCTCCCCCTTTTTGTTTTCTTAATAAATCTTGAAAAGTGTATGCCACCTGAAGGGTTTGAGTCCTTTTAAGACTCTTCATTCCACATTTGCAGATAGAAATAGACATATAAAAACAAGAATGAGACAGGGATAGTGCTTATGCTAAGAGGCAAATGTAAGGAGATCCAGTGGAAGGGATTAAATTCTTTATTTCCTTTTTAAATTGCTGCTAGGCATCTAAGAAACTAGTTTGCAAGTTTGCCTGGGATAATTGTACAATATGTTACTGTAATTCTGAAATATCAAGGGTTGTGTTACCTTTACCCCAAGCACCAAGAAGGTGATTTTTTATTGATTCCCAAGGGTGTAAAGTACTATTATAGGGAATGAGGGTAACACAAATCTTACTTTTAAATAGCATTCTTTTTGGCTAGTGCTCATTTGCTAGTGCAAATTTTACTTTGGACTTTACTATAATCAATTGGTCATAAAATATTGCCTTCTCATCAAAATGAGTTTATATGAGACCTTGATTATACTGTGGAAAGCTAATTTATTAAGTAATTAAAATATGCATCATTATTGAAAAAGTAAAGTAAACAAACTTATACATTTGACCTATTCAGGACAGATGCTGCCCCACATCCCAGCCTATTTGAAGAGCAGTCTGTCTGAGGCATTATGTATGTAACCTTGTTCTGCCCTCCCTTTTCGTATTAACCATTTACTCTGTGCTGAGCAGGAGATAAGGGTAGTGGTCTAGCCTTTGTTTAAACTTCCCTGAGATTTTATGACTCTTTACAACTTTTGCAGATGGTTAATTTTAGAATTTATTTTTCTCTTTCAAAATTTATTTTTTCCTTCTCATCATATACACTGAGTGGCCAGATTATTACGATCTCTTAAAGCATAATAATCTGGCCACTCAGTATATATCCTATGTAATAAAAGGCTAATAGGAAAATTGTCCCTTAAATCAGGATTTTGACCATTAGGCAGGCCGGCCAACTGCCCATGTCCCATCTCCCTGGCCAGGCTGGCCAGACCACACCCATGCACAAATTCATGCACCGAGCCTCTAATATATATATATATGTGTGTGTGTGTGTGTGTGTGTGTGTGTGTGTGTAGTATGTATATATATGTGTGTGTTTATGTATATATATGTGTGTGTGTGTGTATACACACACACACACACACACACACACACACACACACACTGAGTGGTCAGATTATTATGTGTTCAGAGATCATAATGATCTGCTCACTCAGTGTATATAACCTTCATAAATTTCATGCTTTTAAATTAGTCTTCAAACCTTTTTATGTACTTCAAAAATGCATTTCTACTCTAATACTCTTTTTTTCTGTCATTAGCTTGTATATACCTTCAGCTATTTATATAGAACTTTTTCCTCCTTTTCCTTTAAAATGTATGTTCTGCCTTCTATTATTAAAACTATACAATATTTAAACCTTAATTTTCCAGTGATAATTAAAAGTAAACAGTCAGCATTTCTTAGATTGATATTTATCAACACACCTTTTGTAATTATTCTAAAAGACATTAATTAAAATAAACCAGTTTTTATATTAAAAAATTGGTTCAGATCATATAATTAATCCTCTTTTTTAAACTAGGCCAATAAAATGTTATATTCTAGGTTGAAATTTTACCACATGTAATACACATAAGGACTACAGTATATTTTGAACTACTAATTTTTCTAGAGAAAATATAATAATTATTTTCTAAAAAATAAATTTCAATACTTTATGCATTTTGTTATCACAACTATATAATTTCTCCCAACTTAATTTGAACTTTAAACTTTTAGAAGCCTTAAGTTTGAGGGGGCAAGTTAAATATTTAGCATTTCCTAGATAAGTAATATATTTATAAGGATATATTTCAAATAAAACACAAAACATATTCAATTAATAGATTCAACTCTGTCCTCTAGATTTTTCATATGAGGCAAACTCAGATTAATATTTCAGTATTTTGTCATTTTAAAATACCTACATATTTAATAACTTTTATTATTTAATTCAGCAATGTTCTAATGTTTTAAGTTACCAAAGACTTTGGAAAACTATATATGAGGCTGGCGAATATCCCCACCTGCACGCCGAAGGCTGATGAAAAGAGGAGGAAGCAGGCCTGTAACCACTTGAATGTAAAATTGCCACATTCTTCCTTAGAGGTAACATCTGAGGTTAAGGCTGTGGCTTCTCTGGGACTGATCCTCTTGAGTTACTGCACTTGCATTATTAATATATTTATAATTATTACTGAAAAGCTTTATTACAAATCCTTTAAGTTAGTAACATTTATTTATTTATAGTTTAAATAATTTTGAGATTTTAAAGCCAATTATTATTATCCAAGGCATTTTCTTTGGCAAATTTTGTAACAAAGATAACCTACTGACTTTCAGTGGCTTTAATGTTAAAGTACTATTTTACTTTTATTTTATAAAAACATGAGTGCCCCCAAAATTTGGGAAACAACCTTGGAATGTGGTACATTGTTATTTAAGAATTATCCATTATTATGGAAACATCAACTCTATTGCCCAAACACAGCCAGTATATTTTCATTGTGTCATTTTTTGTCATCTTTTAAAGTAAAAAACAGTCTTGGGTTTATTCTATAGTATCTGTGAAGAGTTGGGGCTCAGACCAAGAGCTACTCAAAATCAGGCAGGCACACCTTCTCTTAAGTTAGCCTTTCTCTCTTTATGGGTACAGAAATCCCATGCATATCCCCAAATTCTGAAAAATTTTAAATGACGAAGTGGGAAATAAAATCATGGTCAAATGAGACTTTTATAACACTCCTGGGAGTGGGAGTCCATTTTACAGGATCACCAAAAGACCTAGTAATTAATGGGCTGGGGCCTGTTTTAGTTACCTCCCTTTGTCTAGGGAATTTTTTTAAAACCTTTGTTATCAGCCACATGTACCTCTCATATTCTCTCTCTTCCCATTCTGTTTGTTCTGGAGAAATTTAGTAATGGCCAGTTTCTTTTCTATTAAATTAACTTAACTTAACTTAAATTAAATTAAAGGCATGCTTAATAGACTTACAATAAACATATTAAATCAAACAACAAGGACAGATAAAACAACAATCAACAGACAAGTGCCCATAACACATTTCATGGGTTTTTCAGATGTTCTATATTGTCTGGGACTTTCAGCCAGAATTTAGCCTATGTTAGTCCATTGTTCACAGATTTTATCATACTCTCCTCTCCATAGCATTGACTAGCATCCAAAGTTATTTTTGCTAAAATCTGCCTGTCCGAAGGCATTATATGGCAGTTTTTAGATAATGCACTAATGAATCCTTTTGTTAAAGGATTGTTAGCCCCACTTTCTCTAGCCGTTGAGCCTTTCCACAATGGAAGCAAAGAATCTGGGGCCTTAGGTATTACAGACTTTTGATCCCCAATATGAATTGGGTATAATGCAGTTAAGAAAAGAGCCCACCTAGCTAAAGATGACAAGGGCACTCATTTTCCTTGAGCCTGATTTAAGAGAGTACCTTTTGACATTTTAATTCCTTTATCTTT